GGGCGGGCGGCCGGGCCCGGGGCGGGGCGCCCTCCTCTCTCAGCTGTTGGGAGGCGGGGCCCTGCCGCGCGTGGGGACGCAGTGCGCCCGTTAGGGGACCGTGCGCTGCTGCCCTCTCTCGGCCCGGCCCGAGTTCTGCGCGCTCAAGAGCAGGTCACACCTTCTCGCGTCGGAGCCCTGCCCTGTGTGGCGCTGCGGTCTGCGAGATCGCTGCCCTCTATACTCGGCACCAAGGAGTGCGTTAAAACAACGTCACGACGGGAAACACCGGAGACGTAAACGATGTGCACACCGACAACGTACCGTTCTCACGGGAAATGGAAGTGTTTCACAATTATGGACACACACAACCCCAAAGAGTGTCAGGCTGGCCGGGATTCCTCGAATCGCGGAGAAAAACACTGAACCAATGCTGACGCTCCGCGGCCTTGCTTTAGGGTCTGGCGCAGGAGAAGGGAGCTGATCCACCTGTGAGGCTTCCAGATGCAGCGCTCTGAGGCTGCGGGCCTGCGGAGATCCAAGCAGGAGGATCAGGGCCTGCCGGGCTGTCCCACCAGGCGGCTGGGGAGATAGGCGCAAGGTTCTTCGGGGCAGCTGTGTCCGCTGCTGAGAATGTAGACGCGGGCAGGTTGGAGAACAGGCTCGTACCCCAGGTGGGAACACCTCACTGCGAAGCCTCCCGCACCTGCCCTCCTCACACACCCGTCCAGAGCCCAGCAGCCCCTACTGACCTGAGGCACAGCAGCTCTGGTGTGGGAAAGGTGACGAGGCAATTTTTAAATGGTACTTTATTCATAAACTTGATGCAAGTTTACAAAATTTACTGTACATTGCCAAATAAATCTGCAATGAAAAAATCCAAAAACCAAAGCATGCCAAATCTGCAGGCATAGCTCTGAAGAGCTGTCCCTTATCCACAGCACAGTCAAGGTTTAGCCTTAAGCTCAGAGAACTTCACTGCTTTGAAGAATTCTGCCCCTTCGCTGGTTCTCTGAGCGACTGACAATCAACTGAGCAGAATGGCAGCAAACCTTTACCAGCTCTCCTCTCCGCCAAAATCAGACCTCAAGAAAGTAAACACCCACAGCAATGCAGAAGCGCCAGTCTCAGGAGTGGCTGACCAAGGTAAAGAGCTGAATAAAGCTCTTAAAGAATTCTGCTTAAAACAAATGCAAAAGAAACACTTTTCAACTTTGTAACTTGTTTGTGCAGAAAAGTATGCTTCTGGGTATCCTTTTAAAAGTGCTTATCAGCTAGAACTTTTTAAATCGAACTTGGGTTTATAAAAAATACTACTAAACGAACAGGACTGATTCAGGTAAGGAAGTAAGATGGAGGGTACCCTGATATCAGATTTTATGAATTAACATAGAACTCTTACTAAATTTTGACTTAAAACCCATTGTTGTAATCTATAATGTAGAGCAAAAATTGTAAAGTCTCCAAATTAATTACCTTTTTGTACTTAATTGTGTAGCTTTTGCTTAAGGAATCTGTCTTCAGGACAATTTATAAGTTTACAGATAATTGCAACATCCCATTAATAAAGGGAAAAATCAGATGACTTTAAGTATCTTCCAGCTCTACCCCATGGCTCCTCTGTATGAGTAGTGCAGAATGGACAAGCAACAGTGAGCGGAGCCTGCCTCGGCCACCCCGAGGGAGCAGGCACTGGAGCAGGAGCCTCTGCTACCAAGGACGTGAGCTCAGGAGAGTCTGTGGCTTCCGGTGACCATTACCAACTTTAACAACTTCATGAGCAGGATTCCGGACATTATTCTGGCAATACCATAAAATGGTTTTAGACCTGGAAAAAGTTGGGTTTAGAAGACCTAAATTTTCTAAACCAACATTGAACATCGATTAAACTTTTATTGGCTCTAAATGGAACAGTATTTTGCAAATCCTCATAACCCATGGGCTCAGTATTAAGGAAGTTACTGTGACATCGCAGATGCAGGGACCTGATGCTGACTTGCCTGCTTCAAGATTTGACTTTTCAAGGAAGAGATGGCAAGAGGTGGCAGTGCATATATCAATCAGGAAAAATATGGTATGGGCCCAGCTGCTCAGTGAGCAGGCAGAAAGGGCGGAACTGAGGCTGCGTCAGTGACAGGTTATCCACTAAAGATCTAGGCGTTAACATCTCCGTGCGGTTGTCACGGCATTCAAAGCTTGTGTCTGCATGTTGGAAAGGTTTTCTTTAAATAACATTGGTCCAGCTACACAGAGTCGACATATTTAGCCGTCTTCCTTTGGAGGAGTGTACCAGCCTGAAACAGAATGGAAACCAAGTTAAGATAGTTTACTGCTCAACAGACTAGGTATTTCAATTTGCTGTAGAAATTAAACTTGCACTTGGGTTAACACAGTGTTCTGATAAATTCACAATATAAAGGTAGGTATTTCCCGTGAAGAGTGTACTAGAGTTTTCACATAAGCTCTATGAATGGCATCCCTGAAGATAACAGTATGGCACATCACACCAGAAACTGTATCAATTTCATATCTAAAAGTATACCTCTCACTGAGAACTACTCCCCAAGCAAAGCCCTGACATTTACAATAAGACGATGAGAAGGTGGCCACTGAGGCAGGTGTCATGACTACGTGACTGGGCCTAAGGCCAGCGCTGGGAGCAGATGCCCCAGGAGAAGTGCTACATGGGCTGTGCTGCTGTGCTGCGATCTAGAAAGGTCTGAGAACGGCGGGGCCAAGTGTTTTCACCACATAAATGGTAACTGGGAGATAATTTAGCTAGATTTAGGTATTCTACATCTAGCACATAATTTTTTCTGTCAATTTAAAATAAGTTAGAAATGACATAATTTTTAAAAATTTAAAAATTAGAATCTGTCCCTCCTGATTTTGAATATGCTGCACTTTCATCGTGGCTCACCTTTCACACACATGCACACTCTCTTGTTCATTTTCCCTCTCTCAGAATTTCTGAACACATTTTTGAATACTAGTTGTAATACTTGATTTAATATGATCAGGGCATGGTGGTGCATACCTGTAATGCCAGCTACTTGGGAGGCAGGGGATCACAAATTCAAGCCCAGCCTGGGCAACTTAGCAAGATCCTGTCTCAAAATAAAAATACAAAAATGGGGGGGAATGCAGTGGCCCTGGGTTCAATCCCTGGTACCACCAAAAATAAAAAATGAGAGGCAAAAATGTGACTGCTGCTCTCTATATAAGGGCAAATTAGGTGCTGTTTGGAGTGAACTGTCAAGGGAACATACTAAATTTGGAATATTCTAAAATGTGTTGAGCCACAAGGTTCTGTAGTACAGCCATTCCTCATTTAACAACCTACATGTTTAACGACTGTCCACACGTAGGACCGAAGTGCACTGTTCAGACTTTCAACCTGACACTTGGACACCACCCCTCTTTTTTTTTGTATAGTCCTGTACATCTTGCTGATAGAGCCTCAATGTCTTTTTTTGTACAGTAGCCCTTATTTGTACAGTACTTTGCTGATTATACTATACAGTATAATACTATAGTTTTATGTTGTTATATATTACAGTATTGTAAGAGTTATGCAAATAAAAGCAAAGTCATCAAATTGAAGTTTCCTTTGACAACTTCTTTGTTGTGAATATTGTAATGTACATACTATACACAATTCCTCATTTCGCAACCAATCCATTTAACGACCCCCAGTCCCAAGACTGGAACTCAGGTGTTAAATGAGAACTGTCTGTAATGTACAGGCTCCTTTGGGTTCCATGTACATGGTGCACCATAAACAACTATTATCAATACCTAGGTCTTCCTTCAAATTTTATCATCTTCCTCTCAAGCATGAAACTTTGGTTTTTTAATACAATTTCCAGAAATGATCACTAAAGAAGTTGTTGTTGTTGTGTTTTAAGGACAAGTTGTTTTGTCCTTAAAAGTGCAAAATACAAACATTAAATTACAAAGTAACACATTTCTAGGAAAATAAATAGCACTTGCTATAAACATATCCCTTCAGGGACCCAAAACACAGGAACAAAGGGCACCTGTCACCCCTACCCCACAGGAGTGTTCTACTATCAGCACCTGGGTACAAAGTGCCTTTGTACCCCTTTCCTTCACAGCTTGGGCACTGCGGCACCATGCCAATTCAGGAAACTACGGCTAAAAGGTAATTTGTTCAGGACCACAGAGCAGCATGCGACTCCAATGGCACTTTTTAAAAATGGTCTTCCAGGTCTAGGTTTCTTACCCTATATGTAAAGACAAAACTCTTAAAGCATGTGCACTGGGAATACAAGTGGAAGTTACAGGCCAATAAAGTTAATGAAAAGTATTTTTAAAAAGATACACTCTTCATTGTGGAAAATCATCAGAAGCACTCATTAATCTGCACTAAGTAATTTTGCACATGGCCTACTGCATTTACTCAGTTCTAACATAATTCTATTCATAGGGCCACATTCCTACCCAACCAGGACACTTTTCAGGTGGGCAGTGTCTCATTTATCCATCCACTCAGAATCCCTGACTCAACTCAAGGTACCTAATCAAGTATCCAGAGCAAAAAAAAAATTTTAAATCACCATGTTAACAGTTCATTCAGAGATTTTTGAATGCAGTACAAATTAAATGTTTTTACTGGGGTAAAGATAACTTGGTAAGATATTACAGCAAAACCAAAAACAAAACAGAATAAATATCAACACATTATGTAAAACTTCATAAATACTTATTGGATAAGACACATACCATTTTTCTCATGTATCTGTACAATGGAATTGTAGGATTGTTGGGCTCTTGCTAGATTATACTGATTCTGAAAGAGAATTACACATTTTAAATCAAAATTAACAATGAAAATTGTTACAATAAACTTATAATAGATGTACTGTGGTTGTGTTTCAAAGAACACAGGAAACTACTTCCACTTCCAAAACAATTGTAATACTCTCATTTCTCATTTTCATTACTTCTGCAAAAGAACAAAACCAAGACTGTACTCCAATAAAAATCTAAGCTTCACAGTTACTTCTCTTGAGTCTTCCAACCACTGAGCAAGGACAAGGCTTCATAGTTCTGTGGTCCCTATGTATGGATGGGTCAGGTTAAAGGATTCCCCTTGGATGTGGGTGAAACTCAAACCATCTTCCTCATTAACAATAATCTAAAAAGGCAAGCCACAGAGTATTTTCAGATTAGAAAACATTGAGCTTCAAGCACTATACATACATGTCAATGAGATTCTGAGTTGGAAATCTGCAGACTGTCCACACCTAGCTCCAAGTCATGATTTACTCAAAGAGCCCATTTTGTTAAAAAAAAAAAAAAAAGGCATCTTCATGGAGCCAAGCTGAGTGTGAATTTTGTTGCTGGAAGCACAACTGCCCTACACCTTAACTTCAATTACTACTTCCTACGAACTCCCCCTTGTGGTATACACTGTCTTACTGTATTATGTCACAGAATTGTTTGAGTAATAAATTTGCACAGCAGAAGAAAGCTGAGTGTGATGGTGCACACTTGTAATCCCAGCACTCTGGCTGAGGCAAGAGGAGAGGAGTCCAGGTTTCAGGCCAACCTGGGCAACTTAGCAAGACCCTGTCTCAAAATGAAAAATAAAAAGGACTGGGGATCTAGCTGAATGGAAAGGCCCTGTGTTCAATCCCAGAACTGCCCAATTTAAATTAAATAAAAGCCTGTAGGAAAACATTCTAAGTAAAAACTTACTCCTACCTGTTCCTGAGCCACCCAGACCTTTACCTACCTTACTCTACCCCTTACTCCTGGTTTTTCTTATGTCCTTCTTGGATTTACAGGGCCATTTTGTGTAGACCATGTCCACAAGAGCAACCGTGCCCACATACATTGGCAAAGCACCGGCAACACATCTCGGGTGGAACTGCTGAGCTACAGGATATCGGCAGCTCTGGCCTATCATAGAGATACATTGCTCAAGCGTCCCTCAGGTGCCCCCAGCATCTGAGGCCTCCACACAGACTCACTGACAGAAGACTTCAAATTTTTGTTATTTCTGACAACAGACTCTTTGGGTGGTTTTTACTGTGCATTTCTAGTATTGAGTGACCCTAAGGACATTTCCGTATGATCATAAACCATCATTTGGTTTCTATTTCTGTAGACTCATTACAGAAATAACAAGTCTTTTTCTATTTCTCTTGTTTCTAGGCGGTGCAGCACTGCCATAAAGCATCTCAAGAACTAAAACACTACAAACATCCAGTAGTGTCATTTCAACTTACAGTGTTTTTCACTGTCTGTATTTTCACAAAAAAAGACAAAAATTAAAGACAGAAACAGATTGAACAACATATTCACCAACATCCAAAATGATCATGAAACAGGAGCTTCCCAGTCACAGCGCTCATTCTCTAGGCACAAAGACAGAGACTGCCAAGCCTGCTGTGCTCAGCTGTCGCAGCAAGACATCCCAACTTCATCTAACTACAGGCAGTGCCACCTTCCTGCAGGGCGGCCAAGGCCTTTCCAGTTTTCTAACTCACAGATTTCTACTTAAAACTTTTAGTCATTCTGGTTTCCTTCAGTTTGACTGTCCTTTCTTTTCTAATACTGAGCTTGAGACCTGACTCACTTTTTATGATTTTTCTATTGATAAGAATCGTTAGGGCAGTGAATGCTGCTCTGAGCGCTCCTTGCCTTCTGTTAGGTTGTGATTACATGATTGCCATTGTCCAGTTACTCTGCAGTTGTAATTTCAACCCATTTGGCCTAAATAGTGTAAGTATTTGTTTTCTGACTTTGTTCTTAACTTATATTTGTATTTAATTAGGATCAGAGAATCTATGTCTCTTTTCTGCTTTTCAGGGCAGAGGTTCATTTCACTGAATAGTTTAGGAGGGGGTTGAGGAAATGTATTTCAGCATTTTCTTTACTTCCCCCTCTTCCCCAGAATTATGGACTGAACCTGGGCCTTGCACTGTACTGCATTCCCAGCCCTTTAATCTTTTTAGTTTGAGACAGTTTCACTAAACTGTGATCCTCCTCTCTCCCCTCAGAGTGCTGGGACTACAGGTGTGCACCAACATGCTCAGCTTAAAAACTATTTTTTAACTTCTCATTTGTTTTAACCATGATTTAGAAGGGTGTCTACTTTCTAAATTCATGTAGATTTTTATTAATATCTTCACTTCTAAATGTCTTCTAACTTAATTGTATATTTAAATTATATGGTTTGTGTGGTACCAAATGTTTAAATCTTCTGACTTGCTTTATACATTAATAGATGAAGGAAATTTTTTCCATAGCCCATATATGCTTGGTAAGCATATAATATCTAATTATAGACATTTCTCATTTAATGACTGGGTTCTGTTCCTACAACTAGGTCGTTAAATGAATTGGGCCCTAAGTGAGGAGTTGTATATAGTATGTACATTACAGGATTCACAACAAGAAATGGTCAAAGTAAAGTCCAACTCAATGGCTTTGCTTTAATTTGTGTATCTCTTACATGCAGTACTGTAATGTATAACAACATAAAAATGTACTATATTATACAGTACAATCAGCAAAAATTAGTACTGTATAAACAAGGTATACTGTACCTAAAAAGAAGACAATGAAGCTCACCAAGAAGATGTACAGACTGTACAAAAAAAAGATGGGACGTAAGTCAGAGCCATGGGTCATAAGTCTGAACAGTGCACCTTAGTTTTATGTCTTAATAGTCGTGAAATAGGAAGGTCATTTAACGAGGAACATCTGTATTGGGTATAAGAGTTCTGTATTTTCTCAGTTAATATATCAAGTCTGTTAAATGATTATTTAAATCTACATTTTGATATCCTGGTTAATATAAGGGGGATGAAGTTGAAGTCTCCAGTTTTGCTGGCAGACCTATGCATGTCTCCCTATTTTATTGTTTTTTCTCTATATTTTGATGGGTACATAAAATACAAAACCTGTTATATCCCCATTTGACTGAGACTTTCACAATGAAGTCATCACTAATACTTCCTGTTTCAAATTTGTATTTTCTTTGATACTAAGGTATACTACCTGTTTAAGGGCAGTGTCTACTGACATATCTTATCATTCACCCTTCTTTATTTGAAAAAAAAAAAGTTTTTCTATTCACACATTCTTAATCATTTTATAATCTCACATGTCAAATATGCACTTAGAAACAGCTAGTTTCTTTAGTCTATTTACACTTGTGACTTGCTTCTATCACCTTACATACTTCCTACCTTCTAGTCTCTAATTTTTAAATTTTATTATCTCTTCCTGAGATTGCACTAAGACATATTTAAACCTCATGCTTATCCATCTTAACTTCTGCCATATTATGTTTATTATGTTCCTTATGTTTTAACACTTTCCTTTATAGAATTTTTTTTTTTTTTCGGTCTTTTTGAGACAGGATCTCACTATGCAGTTCAGGCTGGCCTTGAACTTGTGAAGATCCTCCTGCCTCAGCCTCCCAAGTGCTGGGATTACAGGCGTGCATCACCACACCCCACTCGGTATTTTCAAATTAACATTTACTTTGTTTCCTGCAGCATTTAGAATCCCAGAAGAAGAAACTCACATCACATGAAGTTGCCACTTTCCTGACAGGTATTTCTTAATAGGCAGAGAAAAAGAGGGTTCCTCAGAAGAATTCACTAAACAAACTCACCTCCTAAGACCAACAACCATGTACTGTGAAAACAACCCTTTGGTCAGCACACAAGCTAGCGATCCCGAAGCTACCACTGATGACACCACAGCCATCCTAGTTTATATGAGCACATTCCACAAGGTTCCAATAGCAACAAAACTGCCTAACTACATGTTCCCCTGCCTTTAGGCAATGGATACTTGTACTTTAATTTGAAAATGTATTTAGCAACCTAATAGCGTTCTGTGTAAATGGTTGTAATATAATGCCAAGAAAACTGCAAATCACAGGGAAAATAACGATTTAAAGCAATTATATTGACACCAATTGATTCCAAGAGATCTATAGCATAGAACAAAGAGTACTGCTGTTACAGAATTCTGTAACTGGAAGAATACTGTCCAACTAGGCATGTAGACGTCCAGGCTGTGACGCCGCCCACACAGGCTCATCTCCCAACACTGTGGCCCAGCACAGGGGCTCAGAAGTGGCAGCCTTCTGGGACCTGACTTGGTGAGACAACTGGTGAAAAAAGTGGATTTTACAGAGGTTTGCTTGGACACATATTCTACTGCTGCCCGGGAAAGCAATGTTAAAATCTTAAAGAAAGTGCTCAAAAGGGCTGAAGCATCGATGTTGCTGATAACAGGATGGATGCCAATTCACAAAGCAGCTTCCAGCTTTACAGAAAGTTTGCAGATAGTAATTCACAGATTCACCTGAAAACTACATTAAGACAAAGACTTTTGAGGGCTTCTGTGCATTACATCTTATTATAAGTCAAGGACACTGGAAGAGCACAGATTCTTTCAGGAGGTGGAGCACATCCTAAGGCAACTACTTTAGAAAAACCATGCCATTCTGTCAGCTGCTGAAAATAGACCAGATGTGTTAAGGCTGTTGTTCTGACAGCAAATTTTTGTTTTGTTTTGTTTTTTTCTGGTACCGGGAATTGAACTCACGACCTTGCGCTTGCCAGGCAGGCGCTGTGCTGTCTGACAATAAATGTTAACAGATCCCATTCTATGTGTGGATGCAACTCCTTGCACCAGGCCTCTTTCCAGGAAAATGCTGAGATTTACTTCTTTAAAAAAAAAAAATACTTCTTAAAAATAAAAAGAGCAAACAAGGAATGCCAGGTTGACATTGGACTTGCACCTGCATTTGCGGCTGTGCAGTCTGGCAAGCTTTGTAGAAAGTTTGAGCATACTTATTCCATCAGGTGCCAATGTCAATTGTCAGGCCTTGGACAAAGCTGGAACCAGGTTGCTGTTTAAGATGGTCATACCAAATGTGTGGAGTTTTTGCTGTCCAACGGGGAAGATCCTAACCTTTCCTCTAATGAGCACAACTGGCAGTTACCTACTCATGCAGTGCACAAATGGGCTATACAAAGCTGGGCATGGTGACACACACCTGTAATCCCAGCACTCAGGAGGCTAAGGCAGGATTGTTGAGAGTTCAAGACCAGCTCGGGCTACAAAGTGAGTTCAAGGCCAGCCTGAACTGCATAATGAGATCCTGTCTCAAAAAGACCAAAAAAAAAAAAAAAAAAACAAAAAAAAAAAAAAAAAAAAAAAGCTATACAAAAACCTTGGACTTATTAATACCACTTACTAACCAGGTCTGTGAAACTGGACCAAAGTAAGCCCTGTTTACTCAGCAGTACTGGAGGACATGGAAAGGGGCTGGAGTTACTTCTCCAGAATGGCCACTGCCTAGATGCTCAGATGTATCTGGTCTTTGGAACCAGTTCTCTCATGTGCAGAGCTTTCCAAAAGGACTGTGGTTGGAATTTATAAATCATGCAGCTAAAGCACAAGCAAAATATAAAGCAAGGCTGCCACATCTCCTGCTTGTTGGCTTTGACCTACTGACTCTCCTCTGCAGTCCTGGACTGACTCAAGTCAGTGACGACCCCCTCTCTTCACTGTGGAGCTGACTGAGTGGAAGAGACCTCCACCAAATGTTGAGAAGATGCTCTCTGCTCATGCCTCCAACTCCTCTTGGGTTTGACAACTGCCTCTGTTCCATCCTTAGCCCATCTCTCTTTTTGAGAAATTTGGTCCAGCCTGAAAGAATACTTGCAACCTGACTTTATCCTTCAGCTGGCCCTTCCTAGAAGCCTACATCACTATTTGCTCTATGAAGAGGTTCTAGAACTGGCAGCTCTTCACAATGGAGAAATCAGTGAAGCTACTTAATACAGTTCATGTCTTACTCTGAAAACCATCAAGACAAAAGAGCCACAGCAAAGAAATTACTCATGTTTGTATTGTCACAAAACAATGATTTTTGTTCATGTAGCTGGTTAGGTTTCCTAGGGCAATGTTAAATGTGAATGTATACAGCTGGACTTTTCAGTAAAAAAATACATATATATTGTAAACTTCCTAGATACTACTTTATTGCAGTTTCATCACCAGTATACTTTATGCTGTAATATTTGTTTACCTCACTATTTTCTGGTTTATTCTGTTAGTGAACTGTGATGTTCCTTCTAGTGCTACACAGGGCATGTTTCTACCTATGATTTATATTTTCACTTCATGCTAGAAGCTACAAATGGAATACCCAATACTTTCTTTGGAAGTGTATACAAATGCGATGATAATTGATGGTGGTGGTGGTGGTGGTGAAGATGATGATGATGATTATTTGAGCAGCTGAAGATCTCATATTTGTAACAATACATTTTCCTGTCCTTTCATATTTCAAAAGAAAGTACAGTCCAAGTCTATTTCCAATACAAATCTAGTGGTCCACAGAAATAAGTTTATACAGTGAATTACTGGTAAAATATTCTTTCAATTACTCAGAGACCCCTGGCATATGCCCTTTACACTTTCTCTTTTAAAAAGAAAAACATGCCAAAAATTTTTTAAATCATTAAAATTTAAGATCCAATTCTATATATAAATAGATGCCAGGAAGACAACAGCAAAAGGCTAAAATAAAATGCTAATAATATTTTGATATATTTAGAGATAGCCAAATTTAAAATGATCTTTTTAGTTTTTTGTATTTTTACCAACTTTAGAAATTCTGCATTTAAGAAGCATATATTTTGTCGGTAAAAAATTAAAGTTTCATGTTCTGGTACAAGGTCATGCTCTGCCACATTTAAAACATTAAAACTATAACACAGTCAGACACAGTAGCACACTCCTATAATCCCAGTTACTCAGGAGGCTACTCAGACAGCAAGATTTCATGTTTGAGGTCATCCTGGGCAACTGAGCTACACCTTGTCTCAAAATAAAAAAAGGAATGGATGGGGATGAACTCAATGACAGAAAGCCCAAGTTCCATCCCCAGTACCACAAAAACATAGTAATGTATGTATAATATATATATTGTTAAGAAATTCTATAGTTAAATGTGATTTTTGTTTGTTTTTTGTACTGGGAATCGAACTTGGGATGCTGTGCTTGCCAGGCAGGTGCTGTGCCACTGAGCTATATCCCCGGCCCATAAATGTGATTAATGAACACTAGTGAATTGCTTAACTTCTGAGTTTTAATGTTAAGGGAAATAAATCATACACACAAGCTTATATATTGCAGGGTTTCTCCCATATCAGAAGCCCAAATGATAAAGAGCAAAATAAAAGAGAGATAATAGGAAGAGGGAGGCAGATCTTTCTCAAGGGGAACGGGATGAAGAGATGTGTTAAGAGGACACGGAGAGTGGGGGAAGGGGATGAAAAAGGAATTAAGATGTGTTCTGTACATGGACCAACTCCACACAAGGAATGTAAACATGATGTACTGAAAATATGTAGTAATAAAAAAAGGTATTTTTGGTCCGATGTAAAGAAACAGCTACTAAAACAGTTAAGAGTATATCAACTGAAAGATTTTTTATAATATTCTTTTTAATTTTTTGCTATAAATTTTCAATTTTTTCTATAAATTAAGAGTTCAACAGACTCATGATTTGAAGTACAATATGGTGATAAACATTTTACACTGAACAGACATCTAATGCAAAATTCACAAAGAATTTTAGGGAAAACATTCAAACTTTAAAAAATTTAAAACAATGATTTCTATCACACACTTTTCAAAAACAAACTAAATTGAGAGTACATCAGTTACATATTTAAACACTTATTGAAAATTACAACTCCTCCTGGAAAGCTGTGTCTCATATATTAAGTGAATAAACTCCAGAACTCGGTGGTTAAGAGCAGAGAATAGGCCACATGTGGTGATACATGGCTGTATTCCCAGCACTTGGGAGGGTGAGGCAGGAGGACTGCTGGAAGTTCGAGGCCAGTTTGGGCTACAAAGTGAATTCAAGGCCAGCATGAAATGCATAGTGAAACCTTTTCTTAAAAAAGACAAAAAAAAAGCAAAACAAAACAAAACAGAGAGACAGAAGAGACTAACTTCCGACAGTCTTGTTCCAATCCTTGCTCTGCCATGTGTGACCTGAGACAAGTTATCTAACCTGCGTATGATCGTTTCCTTGTCTACAAAATGATGACAATAATCAAACATATCATTTAGGTTAGTAAGAGGGTTGAAAGAATTAAAATACACTTAGAGTTCAGCACACTAAGAATTAACTATTACAGTGTGACCTCAATTTGGGAAAACCTCAAAGTACATATTTATTTATTAGGGCATGCCTATCCATAATAAATTTAAATTCTATAGATGTGTTTCTTTGTGAATATAACAAACACTAAAAAAATTAATAATTATCAATGAGTATTTTCATCTTGTACTTCTATATTTTTATAGCTCAGTTTTATAAAAATAAAACAACAAACCAAATAAAAATGAAATAAACTCTCTAAAGAGGAACAAAGATAGGAGAAGCTTCCTAAGTAACATGAAACGTATCTGACAGTAATGTGAAATTGTTACCTTATTTGCTCCAAACTGCACTCTGGCTTTGCCTTTGACTAAGGTAGCATTGATCTGCATGATGACCGACTCTATGGAATAGGCGCTGCTCCAGCCCTGCAGAAAGAAGCAGCCGTCTCTAAACACAGCAGCAGTCCTGTCCTCACTGGAGAGACCCACAAAGCAGCAGGTAGAAACTCAACAGAAGGAAGTCAGTATTCAAAAGTTTGTAGTACAGGGGAGAAAGTAAAATCGGACCACTTCCAGGATCTCGCAAAAACCAAAGCATCCCACGTTCTAAGTTCCTAACATGAACAAATAAAGCACACTCTCAACAATTACCCTACCAAGGGATTCAGCAGCAAGTACAATGTCATTTTACTGGTTTACTTTAAATAGTTTTTTAATTATTAAAAAGAAGACACTATTAAAACAAATTTTTAAACAAGTAGATGTTATTATATAAGAACTTTTCTACTTAGTATTCCATCTACAGAATCAAAACACTACTGAGGCTGCAGAGAAAAGAAAAACAGTCACCTGTTTTGTGAGAAGCTCCATACATAATGCTCCTCCACCCAACACATACCTTAAAAAGAAAAACAAGGAATCATACAAAATCCTGTAGGACTCTATGTTCCGTTTTGATTTTTGTCATTACAAAAACGTATGCACATAAGAACACATTAAAATAAAAACAGCTAAGAGACACAGGATTATGAATAATTTTAAAATGTTAAATCGTCACTCTAATGGTCAATTTAAAAACAATCCCCAGTAAAACAAGTCTTAATGACAGAATTTTGTGATGTCTAAAATTAAGAACTTAAAAAAAAAAAAAACTTAGAATACATTCCAGAGAACAGGGGCTGAAGAATCAGCGTCCTTCGCTAACACCCAGTGTGCCCTGCAGAGAAACACTCTCACAGCACCCATTACACAACTCTCCATAGTGAACATAATGAACAGCTGCGCAATGCTGCACAGTTCAAGTTGTTTTCTCCATTCTGCAATAACACGCAAATCCTGACCACAGAGCCTAAGGACTATTCTCTAAACTGAACACAGTTCTGGGAATATCTCTTTAGGAAATCATTATTTAGGTCAAAATTCTTCAATCTTTTTACCCTTTCTCAAAAAAATAATTCCACCCCTCCTTAATGTTTACTTTAAATTTCAAAACATATTAAATAGCATGCCAAAATACACAAATTGAGGAAATCCTTTCAGGTGAAAAACTGGTGACTGCTCATGAAAACCCCAGCCCAGGACAAACCACTGTGTCCTCTGTGAGGCACTGCCCTCCCTTTTCCCTGCCTGAAATTCTGGCCATGCCTATCTCCCCAAGGCTGTGCTTCTCCCCACAAAACTTCCCAAGACCATTTTAGCCTGGGAACCTTCTGTTCTGGCTCACCACAGGCATCCTCATATCAAATAAACCTAATATCTCCACAGGTGGTAGGGAATCCAAAAGTTCCTGGAGACCACTGAGATCAGTAATAGCTACAGTGGAACTGTTCAACAGCACAGTGGGGCAAGTGCTCCTCAACGCTCCCACACTAGAGGATTCAAGCCGGGTATCTCTCCTATGTGCCTCTTCCAAAACCTGGGACCTTCTGCAAAGAGAAGGTTAATTAGAAGGAAAAGAAAACCTAAAAGAAAAACATTCCAAAAAAAAATTAAATTTGGGTTGAGAATCTTCAGATTTTTCTACAAAATTTATTTTTTGTATCCCTTTGTATTTCTGAAACACAAGTACCTCCAATTTCCTGACTCTCCCACAGATCTATAATATTATCTTATATGTAAGGGACACTTGCTGATTTAGGAGAATTAGAAAACCTAGGTTTTTATTTAAAGCTTGGTTTCTATGTAACTGCTCAAAGTCTTGACATCTATTAATGAGTGGGCCTCATACCTGATCTGTACATTTCAAAATGCTAAGCTAGACTCCTTTCAGGACAAACAGGTGTACAGTGGACATCTAGTTACCCCATCACCCAGCCATCACCTTTCCCCAGGGGCACTGTCACACCAGGTGGGAGAAAGAAAACTTTCCCATTTGTAAGTCAAAGAAAGAGCATTTCTACAAGCATATAATAGCTACTGCATAAATATTTGCTAGATGTCTAAACCAAGACAAGCATTTTAGTACCTACACAAAAAATGAAAGCAGTAAACGTTTCCTTAATATGCACTATCAGCAACATTTATGCCTACAAGAAGTGGCTGACTCTTTTTCTGTGTTGAATTATATTCATTTCAGCAATATGTGTTCCTAACTCTTTATTGCTCTTTACTCCAAAAGGTTTGTGATGAATGTTAGGATAATTTAAGGATGCTAGAAAAAAAATTCTGAGGATAATCTAAGGAAAATAATATGCCACATACATGGGCAAAGCAGTGTTTTCAACTTTAAAAAGTTGCAGCTGCTCAGGTTTTTGTTTTTGTCTGTTTTGGTGGTACCAGGGATTGAACCCGGGGTCTTCATACTAAGCTACATTCCCAATCCTTTCTAATTTTTTTTCCTGTCTTTTTGAGGTAGGGGGTTTCACTATGCAATACAGGCTGGCTTTGAACTCACTTTGTAGCCCGGGATGGCCTCAAACTTCCAGTGACTCTCCTGCTTCAACCTCCTGAGTGCTGGGATTACAGGCGTGTGCCACCATACCTGGCCCGTTTTAATTTTTGAGATAGAGTCTTGCTGAGTCATTAAGTTTCCCAGGCTGGAACTGACCCTACAATTTTCTTGCCTCAGCTTCTCAAGAGTGTTCGGATTATAGGCATATACCACCATGCCCAGTTTAAAGTGTTACAGTAAATACTGTCCTAAACTCAGCCTCTTTAGGCATTCCATTTATCATTATTATAGAAGAAGCCACTCACAAAAGGTCACCTTCTGTATTATTCTATTTATATGAGATGCCCAGGATAGGCAAATCTGTACAAACAGGAACTAGAGCAATGCTAGTCCATGGTGAGAAACACAGGTAAAGAGAGTGGCCGTTATGGATATAGGGTTGCTTTTTGAGGTGATGAAGATGTTTTGAGGTTAGGTAGTAGTAACAGTTGTACAACTCTGAATACACAGAAGTCCACTGGGTTGTATATGTTAACAGGGTGAGTTTTATTGTATGTGAATTGTATCACAAAGAAGCTGTTATTTAAAAGCTTGGCTATTACAATAGAAAAATAGGGTAGTAGATAGAACATGTAAAATATAAAGTATATAGCAAAAACTGCTCAATAATCTATACAGAATCACAGAGCACTTTTAAGCTGTACCTGGATTCTGACATCACGAGTTGTGGGTTTTGTTAGTATTTCAAATTATTTAGGTCAATAATTCTTTCTCTCCACTTAACAATTGACACTAAAGATCAGGTCACCTTAATCCTGCCTCAAATGAGCATCTGCATTTCGCTCTTCTTTCCATTCCCTTCTCACGTGCCAGCTTCAGCTCCTGAACTTCAGCCTGAGACACAGCACTGGCTCTCAGCAAGTGCTCTGTCCTTCCAGGTTCCAGAAGTACCACGCGTCCACTGCCGGCATTCATCTTTCTATCATGTTTCCTTCATATTATTTCCCTCCTTCTAGCCAGGTAAAATAACATGAATCCAATATCCTTACTTAAGTCCGCTTATCAGAGAGACAGTAAAAAACAAGAAAGACCTGTCTCTGATCCAGAATGTTGGACAAATTCAAGTTACTATGTCAGCATTTTTTAAAGTATGAAAAAATAAAACCTATGGCTTGATAGGTAACAAAAGGCTAATACTGTAAGAGATACAAAGATTAAAAATTTACCATCTTAAACAAAAAAAAAATTACCATCTTTCAGTCCTATGTTTACTTTGTATATGTAAATATCTGACTGGGTTACCCAATATTCAATTCTCAAAACTAATTATGAGGTTTTGTGACAGAAGAAACACATTTACTACCTAAATCAATACAGTGTAAGGAAGCTTTAAATCCAAAATGAAATTTTACACAATTCTAAACAACTCTGTTTTATGCTCAATTACTCTATGTCCTTATAATAACAGTATATTTGAGATCAACTCTGTAACAGCCTATCAGAAAGAACCAAGCTTTTACACAGGGATTTGTAGGTCCACCTATCCCTATCCCTAAGAGATAAGTACAGCTTTTCATGCTGTGCAACAGAAAATATCCAAGAATCATTTACAACTTTGGATTTCTAATAAAGCAGAATTTCCCAAAAAAGCAAATCAGAGGACCTGTTCTTCTGAGATCCTAAGGGCTGAAATAATTATAAGATAAACAGATTTAGGAAAAGTGTTTAACATCTTCTTATAAAAGTCACAGTAAGGTTCCCAGAGGTCACTTGGTAATGAATATCATGAGTTTCCAAATATGAACTTGGTAATGAATATCATGGGTTTCCAAAACACTGTAATCCTTTCAAAAAAAAAAAAAAAAAAAAACCATTAACATCCCAGCACTAGTATACATAGAGCATTCTGGGAAATGTGGCCAGGACTAGGTGGTCAGGATCAGCTAAGTGTGACCTCTTTCAGAAGCAGAATTTTACAGTGTTGCATGAGTCAGAGAGGGCTCAGCACATTTATAAATGTTGAATTTTTCTTGTTTTTTTGTTTTGTTTTTTTTGTTTTTCTCCGGTACCGGGAACCGAACTCACGACCTTGCGCTTGCCAGGCAGGCGCTTTTTGCCGCTGAGCTAAATCCCCAGCCCAATGTTGAATTTTTCTTAAAGCCACCGTCTTTTGCTTGAGCTTTACAGACAGACTTCATCCCCAATATCAACATCACAGCTAACATACATTCAGCTGTATGGTAAAATGATTCATAACAGGACTGGATCCCACAATACACAGAAAAAAGCATGTAAAGCAAATAGAACTAAATGTTTTGTAAGGAGTTAGAAGCAAACTCATTTCAGAGAAAATTCTCTTGTAGTAGTCACCCACATTTTTAACCTGAATGTTAACTATTCCTGTCTTAGCCACAGAAAAGATCAATTTAAGGGTGGGATTATTTTTAGATTTCATCACTTAAATATGGATTATCTCACAAAGTAGAGTTAGCTGAGTGTTTGAAAATTCTGCAATTAGTTTAACTGTTTCTATGTTGGCAGTCTCCACATCTCATAACTAACCTAGGCACAAATTCTTGTTTTCCCATCCTCCATACGTTTTCTACCCATGAAAAAGAATCACTACAACATCAATGAAAGTGCATGATAATTTATACTTGACTCCACTCAACTGCAGCCACTCCACTGCAAGTCAGGCATCAGCTCCGGAGGCCGTGAGAGCCAGTCCCTCCTAGAGGCTCGGTGAGGGGCCCAGCTATGGGAACCACTCCAACCAGAACTCATGTCCTCAATTTGTATTTGAAAAGCACTTGGCTTTTAAGGTAAATATATATAAATAGGAACCATTAAAAAATTCTACCTATAGGAGTGTAAAGATTTATGCTATGGCTCTGAATGTGAGACCCAAAGCAGCAGCATCAACTTTACCTAAGCACTTCTTAAAAATGTGAATTCTCAGGACTACCTGGGTCCCACTGAATCAGAAACCTTGGGACAGAGGCCTGACAATCTAGGCCTCCCAGTGTTTTAACTAGCTCTACAAATGATTTCCACACCCACTACAAAAAAAAAAAAAAATCACTTAAACTTACCCCCCTGAGAGAACAGGTAACACTACTCGAACAAATGGAGGATCAAATGGAAAGTTATCCTAAAAAGTAAATAAGCAAGTTTAATTTTAAGGACATCCTTAATATTATGTTACTTAGAAGATTTTAAAATCATCAATAAAGATGTATATATTTATTATATCTGATAATGAGCCATAAAATCAATACCAACAAGTAAGATGAAACAAAAAACCAAAGCAAATAAAAATGAAGTTAAGATCAGACCCGAACAGAATGGTGTCTAGGTAAACTTATTTCACTAAGTTGTTCCATTCCTAGCACACCCACACAAAGGGACCATTAAAATAATAAATCTCTGGTAGATAGCTAGAAAGGGTGGGCAAAACTTAACAATTATAGGACTGTGTGCAGAAATAAAAAGAATAACTCCAGACAAAGGGCCTTTCCCACTTTGGCTTTTCTTCCAGTTACAGAAGAGGAAGAGAAGTTAACAAACTGGGGAGAACTCACAGACTCAGGGATGGTGAGACTAAAAACTCGGAACTCTGGAGTCCACCAAGGAGAGGTACTGGTACATCTATACTTTAGGTTAGATCCCTGAAGACAATCTATAAACTGCCCTGGAAGAAATCAAGTCCAACTTTAAATCAGTTCAATCCCTGATGGATGAGTCCCTCCCAGGATGCCACTGTCCACGCCCCCAGAGAGGAGCAAACGAAAGTCATCTCTGGAGAAGAACACCATCCAGTGCTGCAGGTCGGCACTGCAATGTTTCACACACAGTGTCTATCACCAAGAACAAGCAGCTGTAGGAAACTTAAAGATGATAGGATCAGAAAACCTGAGACGCAAACCACAGACACAAAAACCACAGGGACTGTGGTATGAATACATTCAAGGAAGAAAAAGACAAGCCTGAAAAATCACAGAGAGCTGCAAACTGTAACATGGAACTATATGGAAATTCTGAAATTTAGAGACAGAATAAATGAAATTAACAGTTCAATGGATGAACTTAACCACAGCAGCAACTTAATAGAAAAGAGGCAATAAACTGGAAAATGGACCAGAAACACCCAGAATGAAACTAGGAAAAACGAAAAAGTAAAAAATGCAAAAATTAACAAGACATAAGGTAACATGCTGAGAAGGTTTACCATACACACTGAATCCAAGAAGGAGAAGAGAACAGAACCAAAAAGCTGCGCACCTTCCAAACCAGTATAGGACTGTTAAGGCTTGGCTCCTGACTGTCTTCAAAGCTGATGAATGGTGGTAGGGATAGTCTAGAAGTGGCTGGTGGGTAATTCTAGGAGGCGGGGCCTAGCTGGAGGAGGTCACTGGGGGAAGCTGTGTTTTGTACCCTCCTACCTTGCCTCTCTCCTCAAAATAAATCTTTCTTCTTTTAAATTGTTTCTTAGGGATTTTGTCACAGCAATGACTGGTCAACAGATACCACCAGATTTAACCACTATTAAGTAGTTCAAGAGAAAAGTAAAGGCTGCAAGAGAATATAGTAGCTTCAGAATGCTAAAAGGAACTGCCAACCTAGAAAACTATACTCAATGAAAATAGTCCTCAAAATGAAATAAAACCAGCACTCTGAGAGGGTGAGGCAGAAGTACCACAGCTTTGAAGTCAACTGGGCAACTTAGCCTCTTAGTGAGACTCTGTTTCAAATTAAAAATGTGGGGTGTGCCCTGGAGATGCAGCTGAGAGAAAAAGCTCTAGGTTCAATGGAGGGGGTATAAAAATAGACATTTTCCTATTCACAGACCCACACACAAAAGGAAAAGGACATTTCTAGGTAGAAGAAAGATGATCTTCGATGAAAGAATAAAGAACATTAAAACAGCAAAGGGGTCCCAGTGAATTAAGTGTAGGGTTTCAGATAAAGCACAGAACTAAAATGGATGACAACAGCCACATATTTGGCAAGGAGTACATGAACTCAATGCACTCTAATTCCTCTATTGACAAGAAAACTATAAATTAACAAACTGATGTTATACGTTGACAAGTTGAGGTATGTACTGTGTGATTATAAGGGAAGAAGGAAGAGTAAGACAACATAGCTACTGCGCTAATACAGATGGGAAATTGGAATAAGGAAAAGCAAAAAATGGAAGAAAAAGAAAGCACAGAGCAAGAAATACAAGCAGAAAATCACCTATAGGGTGGCAGATTGAAACCCAATAGTTAGTACTAGTACTAAATGGAATGGACTGCTCCAACTACAAGTCAAAGATCAGACTTGACAAACATGAAAAGAGCAAGATGAGCTAGAAAACAAGCAAAGAATCCACAGCAAGTTCTTAGGCTAATAAGCACAATTCCCATTTTGAAATTCTTAGTTTTGAAAAGTGATCCCAGAAAGAAAGTGCTTTTCTGCCGAACAAAATGAAGAACAGACAGTGCCAAAGTAACCGCAAGTGTGAGTTCTCTGCTGGCCAGGATGCCAAGAAGGCTCGCCCTTCCCTCTCCACAGCAGTCAGACAGGATGGCAGCCTGCTTCTGATGGGACAGCACGGCTAAGAGAAGCCGTCTCCATTCTTTATGTTCAAACAAAACAGGGTTACAGGAAACAACTGAGGCCTTTCAGAAGACCAGTCTGAGGGTAAGAAATCCAAACATTTGCTTTACCAGTCATTTCCAAGGAACACAAAAATGCAAGTTTAACTGGGAAGAAGAGCAGAGCATAATTTCAGTAATTTACTTTAACTTGCTCCTTCTGCCTACCCTTCCAGTAAGAGCCTGAGGAAATTCAATTCTATGGGCAGAGGAAAATCAAGCACAAGTCTGAGGGTTAGAATGGATCATCTTACATTTCTGTTGTAACTTAGCTCATTTCTCAGCCTTTTGGCTAAAATCACATGCACTGTAATTGAGAAGTAAAGAATCTACCCACACAAGACACCAACTTGAATGACAGCTGTGATAGCCAATTAAGCAGCTCACCATTTATCTGTAATTTAACAGCATAATGAAAGGCATCATTAACAAACCTTGGTAAAGTATAACCTCATTTAATCTTTTTTTTGTCTTTTTGAGACAGGCTCTCACTATGCAGTTCAGGCTGGCTTTGAGCTCACTCTGTAGCCCAGGCTGGTCTCGAACTCTCAATGATCCTTCTGCCTCAGCCTCCTGAGTACTGGAATTACAGGTGTGCACCACCACACCTGGCTAATCTATTATTTACACCTTCAAATACATCATCTCAAGTAGGTGACACAAAACCTGTGTTGAGAATTATCTTCAACTAATTCTTCAGAATAATTCTTCTGCATTAAAACCTAGGGATTCTACTCTATAAGCTGTGCCCTGGAACTCAACTAATCAAGATTTACAGAAATAAAAATGAGTTCCTTAGCCCCCACCCCCCCCCAAAAAAAAAAAAAAACAACTGAGGACGATTGTGAAAATGGAAACTTGATTTACATTAGTGTACTAACTCAGAAATGAGAAGCTCAGGCTTTACGATGACATCATAAAGTTATCAGATTTCCCACTTAGCACCTTGGCCTTCTAAGGATGAAGAACATTCCATTTTTCAGACTGCATCACAAGATGACTCTTAATAGTTATAAACCATTTGCCATACTGAGATGAAAGCTGCCTCTATAATTTGACTCATTATTTCTAGCTTTATGCCCTGTGTCCACCAAAAAAAAAAAAAAAAACTAATGCATTCAACCATATAGTCCCTCAGATTGCTAAAGACACCTATTGTCTCACCTCTGAGTCCACAATTTAATCAGCTATCTTATGACAGAGGCTAGAACCTCTTTCCACTCCTGATTATTATTCACTAAATAAACTTAAATTTGTCTAAATAAGCCCTTCTTGAAAGTTACCACCTGGAAATTCAATTCAGTAATTCAGAGGTGGCTGAAGAGTAAGAAAACTCTTTTCCTTCAGAGCGCAGCATATCAGATTTACCAAGCTGCTGACCAGGTCCCATTTCCATGATCATGTTCTAAGTCAAGCTCTATTATTCTCATTGTTCCTAACTTTTCAGTGTCACTCTATGCACCTGAGGCCATAAGAGTATATGATTCTAGCTCCTTCCTGTGAATCTTGCTGAGTTGTCCTGCTATCCTCCAACCTGTGAATCCTGATACAATAACCTGCCAATTTCATGTAAGGTCCTTCTCATAACATCAGTTAGCTCACGAGGATCACCCTCATCCCAAGCCTCTTAAAAACTACTTCAACCCTAGAAAAGTCCCTTCTTTCTGTTGATAGGAGCCATGGTCCAGAAACACAAATCCACTAGAATTTCAAAGATTTTCCTCCCAGACCATTCCTTCCCTGATGAAAACACTACCTGCAGTCACAAATCCTTCTGGTCAAGACTCTGCTTTTTTTTGTTGTTTTTTAATGCCTCTAAAGAGGAAGTGACAGGGAGGGGCACCTAGGGAGCTTAAAGGCACTAAAAAATGTTCTATTTCATACACTTGGTGTTGGGCACATGAATGTATGATTTAATATTATTTTCAGTTAAAATATTTTACATGGTTTTCTGGTTTGCTTTTTCACTAATAACTTTCCAAGTTTTTTGTGGTTGGCTGGTTGGTTTTGCCTAGGTATTTCATTCACTGCCCCATAAGAATTAGTAAAAGTGAAGAGTCATTTACACCTACAGCAAGTGGACACCAGAGTTACACTTTTACAAAGGCAGCTCAGTGGACACGGATACACTATCTAGAATAACCAAACTGAGGGAACTATGACTCTTGGGCTATCTCAAGAAGGTATAGTAAGATACCTATCATAAGACAGACCTCCAAACAAAAGCATGCACATATAAAACCTATGCAAAAAGCTTTCAAAAATTATTGCCACTCTTTTCCTAAGTACAAAGGAAGTATCTTTCCATGTCTTAATTTTCATCATTCAAAACAACCCATATCCATCTACTCTCACTCCTACTATCACTATCCTACATCAGGTCTTCAACACTTCTAGTTAAGTCAAAGCCCCTAACTAATCTCCAAAAAATCCACTCTGTCCTGTCTAATACCTGCTTTGCTACCAGAGGCATGACTGCTTAAAACAAAATGAAAGTCTAACAGATCAAACATGACCTTGCATAAAAACCTCTAAAGACCCTTTCTGCATAAAGGTAAGAGTCCAGACTTTTCACCACAACCTTCAAAGAACACACACTCTTGAAGAACAGGGATCACATTTTAGATGTTTCCAGGTATTTTAAATCATCAGTCTACCTAACTGAAATAGAAAAAAATCTATCTGCAAGATAACTGTTACATAAATTTTTCTTCTCAGTTTAAAAAAACAGGTTAAAAAAAAGAAGCCCCATGCAATTTAAATATAACTCCTCAGAAATATTTTCTAGCTTTTTTAAACTAAAGAGTTAACACTATTAAGGATTTTTTTTCCTTTTTTTTTTTTTTTTTGGTTCCAGGAATTGAACTTAGGACTTCACACTTGCCAGGCAGGCACTTCGACACTGAGCTAAATCTCCGGCCCTAGGACCATTACAGTTTATCCCTAGTCCTTAATAACTCACTAACATTTATCTGGATTCCTTTGTTATTCTTTTTAATCTTTATTTTTAGCATCTTAAAAGTAACTATTAAATATAATACATAAATTCAGAAAATATATAAAAAAGTAAAGTACACCGTCAACGTTGCTGTAAAGTGTACGTCCTTTTCGGCTCACAGCTCACAACTCAGATGAGCTCTTCATCCTGACCTGTATGCTGAGCTCATCTTTGCTCTTCCTGACTGCCCGGGGATGAATGTGTATTAATATTTCTTAGTATTTTTAAAATTTTTACCCAAGATGCCTTTTTAGAAATTTTTTCCCCTCATTTTGCCCACCCCATCTGCCCAATGGAATTTTTAACACCACAGAACTGTATCTTGGTTTATGTTTTATGGCTCCTGGCCAAGGTCACTGCAATACTGAAGATTTTTTCACTCTGAGGACGAATTTTCACTCCAAGTGATACAGCCTCCAATGAGAATGCATTCCCTAAACTATTATTAGTTTTACCTATTTCTAAATAGGTAAAACATTCCACAAACTATTATTAGTTTTACCTATATTTCTATACAATATATAAATGGAATTGTACAAAATAAGTTGAGGAGTCTGGTTTCTTTTGCTCAGCACTGTATTCAAGATTCATCCATCTTGTATATAGCTATATCCCATTTTATGAATAATATAATTTTCCATTTTATTGGAACTTAGATTTTCTGTTTGGGCTGTTATAAACAACACTGCTCTGAACACTCTTGTGTCTGTCTCTTAGTGTGCCTAAATACTCGTTTGTCAGAGAGCATATTCCAAGAGAATTCCTTAACTGTAAGGTGTGTCTTCCATACAAATAATACCATATTGTTTTCCAAAGCAGTTGTACAAATATACATTCCCATTAGAAGCATATGGAGCCCCACTACTATTTTCTTACCTTAAAAGAGAAGTTAAGCAAAATATATTCTATGCCTTCTTTTTCTTTTAAGATCTGAAGATCACTGTGCAAAGGACTATCAGGATCAACCCTAAGAATAACAAAACAAAAGCCAGTTGAAGCAGAGAAGAATTTTTCTCACTGAACTCAAAAATGAAGGAGTCAAAAAGATAAAACAGAGACCCCAGGCTAAGTTCCAGACAGAGAAGTTCTAAAGCTGCTCCTGGGAAAAGTAACTCACTATAGCCTGTAGCTCCTCAGGAATATAAGCCCAAAAGGAAACTACAGTAGTCAGATCTATTCTAATATAGGGATTCAAAATCAGCAGTCTGAAAATTAAAAAAAAAAAAAATCAGTAGTCTACAGAAAAATTCATGTGGTCATAATTTCCTCAAAAAAAAGGGTGGGCCTGAAAAAAAATTCACTTTCCTAAAGTTATATTATTAGCCAAGAAGCTCAAAGAAAAAAACTGCCACCAAAACAACCACGACAGGTCAAATCACTAACTACAAACATCTAGATTTGTCTGCAGCTGTGCTACATACACAGATCCTGCCCAAATCCCTTATTTCAGATAAACTGGTTATTAGTCAGCTTCATCAGGTTATTAAACACATTTTTGTTTCTAAGTTGCTAATGTCTCACAAACTCCAAGAAACTTCTTACCCCACCAGCAGTCCTTCTTTTTCTCCTTCTTTCTCACTTTATAAAGCCTTAGAAGCAACTCATTTTCACAACCAGAGAACTATTTCCATAAAAAGAAGTTTTAAAGTTCTAAGTAAAAGCCATAGTATAAAAGATAACAAATAGGAAGTAAAAACCCACTTCATCATAAAACTCAAACGTTGCAAGAGTAGGTCAGCATCAGAGCCACTTACTTCTGCAGCTTCACTTGCCACTCGTACAGGCTGTCGTTTATGAGTTCCACTGAATAGATCCCTGGGAAGGCGAAGCATGTTAGTTACTCTCCACCTTGTCATACAACCATCATGCACAAACAATCAACAGAAACTAGAAATTTTGCTATTAAATGGAACGTCTAAGCTGTACTGCAAATAAAGTGTCTTACACCCTTAACAGATAATTAAAACCATCAGTTAACAGGATTCTTCAATGAATTCAGACACTGCTTACAATTAACTTCGTTTTTTGTTTTTT